ACACCAGTTTTAAGCCAGTGGTTTGTTTCTAAAATTGTTTGCTCCCTCATTAGTTTTTGGCCTTTTGTTGGAAATATAGATGAAAACACCATTTGTGCTCCTAGTTCTTTTGCTTTCTTCCCTAGCTGTTCATAATCTCATCATTATTTTCAGATTCATTGTTGTGTCATTGGTCCCCAAATGTAGGAGAAGAAAGGGGTAGTAATCTGAGGGGTTGGCTATTTTAGTAAGATACTTAGTTACATCTTTGATTTTTGTCCCAGGAAGACAATATATATACTGGGATACTTTTCTTCCTATCACAGGAATGCTGGATTGTGCCTCTTTTTTAAAAACTATTTATGAATACTCTTTTGTGGGTGTCTGCATATTTTCTTCCAGGGGGAGGCTTTGAAAGCAATTTTTCAATTTCAGAGGGGCTTCATTGGAGTGGGCTATGGTAGATAGTAGGTGCTGGTCCAACACCTTAAAATCACAGGACATGAAATTGACTTTAAAAAGATCAGAACTATCGCCAAAACTGAACACTTTAATAACAGAATAATCAGAGAAGCCATTGAGATAGAAAAATGGCCACACAGCATGAACAAACGAGATGATACCTCCTGCCTACCAGCCATTTGGAAACCCGCCCTTATTGACAAATGAGTCCCTAACACAAAGAATGACACCAGACCCACACTCACAAAAGCCACACAGGATGTCACCACCACACATCCACGCAAAAAGCAAACCCAAACCCACATCAATGATGAGGCACGACCACAAACCAGAAGCCAAACCACAGCTGCATCATTAGCCACTTTAAACCCCTCCAATCCATACATGAAGGAAACTGACACCCACCATGAAGATGAGGCACGACTACGAACGTGAAGCCAAACAATAGCAATGCAGCTCACCATCTCACATCCCCGTGCAACTCAGACTAACCTGAGCACGATAAAGCCCCCACCCAAAGAGAACACTCCCCCAACCAATCAGAGCATAGCCAACCCCTCATCCAATCAGAGCACAGCCAACCCCCCCCATCCAATCAAAGCACAGCCAAGCTCCTAACCAATCAGAACACATCTCCATCCAATCAGAACACAGCCAAGCTCTCATCCAATCAGTTCATACTCCCACTGGCAGTTAAAAGGAAGAAACAGCTACAATCACACATTGCTCCTAGAAGCACGAAGCCGAAAACACCAGCCTGAAGATGACGAATGAGACTTCGTCGAAACGTCGCCAAGACACTTCCAATTTGACGCGGGAGAAAACCCGAATAACCAAAGACCTATATACTATACACACACACACACACACACACACACACACACACACACACACACACTGCTATCATGCCACTCCTAGTCCTTCTTTCCCTGGAATAGATAAACCCAATTCTTGCAATCATTCTTCATATATCAATCATTCTTCATATATTTTAGCCTCCAGCTTCTAATTATCTTTTTTGCTTTTCTCTGCACTCTTTCCAGAGTCTCAATATCCTTTTTATATTGTGGTGACCAAAACTGGATGTAATATTCCAAGTGTAGCCTTAGCAAGGCTTTATAAAGTGGTACTAACACTTCATATGATCTTGACTGTATCCCTCTGTTAATGCAGCCTTTTGTCACTTACAAATCCATTTGGTGGTGATGCTGTCTCTCCCACATTTTTCTAACTTACTAACAAGTATGTTGTGGTCTACTTTGTTATATGCCTTACTGAAATCCAAGTATACTTTGTCCACAGTATTTCACTGGTCTACTAATTTAGTCACTTTGTCAAAGAATGAAATAAGATTGGTGTCAACTCTACAACGAACCTGGCTGCAGCCATTTTACTCATTCTAGGTTTGACATTTTTTTTTTACAAACCCATGTTGGCTTCTAGTTATAATTTTGCTTGCTTCTAAGTCTTCGCAGATCTGTTGCTTGATTATATTTTCCAGGATCTTCCCAGGTATTAAGGTCAGGCTGATAGATCTGTAGTTTCCTAGATCCATTTTTTCCCCTTTTTTGAACCACATCAGCTCCTTTCCAGTTGTCTGGTAGTTCTCCAGTTGTCCAGGATCTGTGAAAGATATGGTTCTGAGATAACATCTGCCAGCTCCTTCAGAACTCTGGGATGTAATCCATCTTATCCTGGTGATTTGAACTCGTCTAGGGTGGATGGGTATTGTCTTACCATTTTCTTGCCTATTTTAATTTGTATTCCTAGTTTGTCTTTTATGCTTCTCTTTTTGGTAGGTTGGGATTTTTTTTCTTTTTTCATAAAGACAGATGCAAATAATTAATTAAGCAGCTCTTTCTTGTCATTTCCTTGCCTTCTTCCCCCTTTAGTGGACCAATTGTTTCCTTTACTTTTTTTTGTTTTTTACATGGTAAAATTAACTTTTTGACATTTGTTGCAAGTCTTAATTAATTCTGAGCCTTATTTTTCCTGACTTCATCTTTGTAAGTTCTGGCTATTTGTTGGAATTCTTCTTTAGTCTTTCCATTATTATTTGTTTGTATTTATCCTTTTTGTCTTTGAGTTTTTCAGAGAGTTCTTTGCATAACAATGCTGGTTTCTTCTTGGACTTCTTGTTTTTTTCTTTTTCAGAGGTATTGAATTAGACTGGCCTTTTATAATCATACTTTTCAGAGTTTCTCAAGCTTCTTGAGTTGTTTTCTCCTTTAAAGTTTTCATCCATGGAATCCCTCCCAAGCCATCTAAGTTTGTTGAAACCATCTCTTTTAAAATTCTAAGACATAAGTTTGATTTTGTTCTGTTGCTTGTGTCTGCATGTAGTAATAATTATGTTCTTCATAAAGTTAACAAAGGGCTTTTCATGGAATTATAGAATCAAAGAACTGGTCTTCTAATCCAACCCCCCGCCCAAGACAAGAGTCCTTCTTCCATACTGGACAAATGTCCAATCTTTTTTCAAAAACTCTAGTGATGAAGTACCCACAATTCTGGGAGGCAAGCTGTTCTATTGATTAATTGTCCTGTCAGGAAATTTCTTCTTACTTTTATTGGATTTCCTGCTAATGAGCTTCCACACTCTGCTTCTCATCTAAAATGGATATGTGTTCTTCATCAATTCTTTCCCTATTTTTACCTGAATCCTTGTTCTGTCTCCCACATAGCTACTTTTGATAGGTTGGACTATCAGATGCAAAGAAGGAATTAAGTAGTATGTCTAAGGAAATTCTCAGTCATCCAGGTCATATTATCCCAAAGGTGCTTTTTCATGAGGCAACTGGACTTTGTTTTTCTTTGAGACATTTCGCTTCTCATTGAAGCTTTTTCAGCCTTTATTATCTCATTTTTCAGAGTTTACCAAACATCCTTAACTATTTTTTCCTCTAGGATTTTCATCCACACACTCCTTCCTAATCTCTCTCTTAGTTTATTGAAATCAACTCTCTTGAAGTCTAAAACACTAATGTGATCTTGTTCAATTACTGAGCTTGTATTATGGTGAATTCTAGTATGACATTTCACTCTCCTCCAAAGTTCCTACAAGTTTCACTCCCTCAGCCATTTCATCTGTACTAGTAAGAATTAAGAACCCTCCTCCACCTTTTGGATAACAAAGTTGTCAGCTAGGCACATGTTTAATCTCCCACTCACTGCAGAATTTGTTACCCAGTTGATGTCAGGGTAATTAAAGTCTCTCGTTATTATAAGTGGTGTATTTCTTATACACCTCACTAACTGATGAGCAAAAAAAATCATTTTTCATTTGCTCAACTTGGCTGAGGGCCTGTAGCATATACCTATAGCAAAGTTATTTCTTTTTCTTCTAATATTCAACCAAATATTTTAAAAAGGCTTTTGTCTTTGGTTTTGTGTATTTCTATAGAAGTGTAGCAATTCTTTATATACAGTGCAACTCCCTTTTTACTGGGTTTGTTTCTTTTGAACAATTTATGTATTTCTAGTAGTATGCTCCAATCATGGATTCCATGTTATGAGATTTCAGTAATAGCAACAATATTGTACCTGGCCTCATGTACTAGGACTTCAAGATCTGTTTGTTCCTGAAATATTAAGCATTAATGTATAGGCATCTGAGCCCTTTAAAACTGAACCTGCATTTGCTTCTTATGTCTCCTGTTTTATACCTAAGTTTCCCTTCCTTCTCATCATTTTGTCTGATTTGCTGTGTTGGAGTTTATGCTTTGGGTTTGGTCCTATAAATTGGTCTCCTTTCCCCTCCTGTTTGTTGGGATTTAGCTGACAATGTCTCATGGCTGGCACAACCATGAAGGTCTTGTATTTTCAGATCCTTCACTTCCTCTATAAATTTGCACTAAATAGACATAATCAGCATTGCATCTTTTTCTTCTTAGTGTCTTGGATTATTGAGGAACCTTGGTCCCTTCAGCAATCTGAGGTTGTTTAGGCCATATTTACTAACCATTTTTTTTCTAAATTCCCTGTGAAGTCAACTTGCTTCCTGTCATTGCCTCAGCCCATTCCTTCCCCTTGATGGAGTATATATGTAAAAAAATTTGTTCTCTATTTCAAGTTATTTTTCAGGTTTATATTATCAATCGCAAGAGTAGACTGTATATTTGCAAATCACTTATCATGATGGCAGATAAACTTTTCATTCTTCGTTCTGTCCGCCTAAGGTGATAATAATTTTTGTTACTGACCAAGAAGATTTACATTTTGGCCAAGTTATAAGAGGCCTGATTGATTTTTAGTCAAGGTATCACAGGGTGTCTATGTAGGATAACTTTAAATAAGGACTATTTTAGTTATTTTTGAAAATATGCTTGAAACTAAGAATAGGAAATTATATTTAGATTTATGAACCTTGACCTTGATTTCACTATCAATCGTAATATATTACTATACCTTGTTCAGTTCACTTCAGTTCTGTTTTGCTTTATTTTAATGTTTAATTTTTTGTGCTTATCATAATAAAGATTGATTGAATGAATGAATATTTAAATTTGTGCGGAACAATAAACAAAGCTATGGCAAAGGATTGTTTATTGAATATCAAGTATCCTTTCACATAAGTCAATAGATTTCTTCTTATGGACATCAAAAATGAAAGACTTTATGACTTCCAGTTTGCCAACATGGCCTCTGCGGACACTTGGAAGGTGACTCCGCCTTCCACATCTGATTTTCCTTCACTGGGGGACCCTGGAAACAGTCGAAAGTTTCTCGGTAGGGGCAATGAGCAAGGGGGGATCCCCGCTTGATCGTGGGAGGGCTGCAGCCCTTCCTCTTGATCTGGGGCAGCCCTCCAAACTGGCAGAGAAAAGACCGGCCATAGAAATATGGCTTGTCATTAGGCTGCAGACAGCCAAAGTCAAATCTACTATCAAACACTCTGAAATCAATGCAGATGAAACTGAGTGAGATGTGATCTTCTCTTTACCCCAAGTATCTTCCTTTCCTGTAAAGGTTGTACGAAGTATCTTCCCCCTGTAAGGAGAGAAGGAAGGGAATTTCTATCCCACCGTCTAAGAATAGTGGCGTGTGGCTACCCAGGAGAATCAAAGCATTAAAAAGAAAAATTTTAATCTAATTGGATTTATATGTTCCTGAAACTTGGGGACCAAATATTTTCCTATTTCTATTGGAGACTTTTGTTTTTATTTACAAAAAAGAAATAAAATTGGAAAAAGAATTAGAAAAATTTGGGACTTAAAAAACTCTAAATGGCATCAGTGACATCTTATGGTGAAGCTTGGTATTGCAATTTGTTATTTCCTAAAAAGAAACTTGGCTCAAAGCCCAGACTTTAGATAAGACTTTCCTGACCTTGGTACTATCTTTAAAAAACTTAACTGAAAGAGAACAGATGGGTAGCAAAATTAGTCTACTTGAACTGTGAATGTAAACCTTTACTGACTTTTGCTTAACAAATAACTTTTACTAGAAAGACTATTTACAAATAAGTGAAAGAGATGGATGACCAGGAAAAGATTCTTTCTATATTGAAAGCAATACATGAAACCATTCTTTTAGCATGTGATAAAATAAGATCTAAAATAAAAGATCAAGATGCCAGCCTAGATGCACAAAGCCAAATTTTGACTCAACCAAAGAACCAACAATGCAGAAGATAACAGAAGAAGCAGGACAACCAATATTAAGACAGAGGACTCAATTGACCAACAAATACAGCTGATTGAAATCCAGAAAAGGAAGTGACAACATTGAAAATGGAAATGACTTTCTATATAAATCAGAAGAAATTTGAGAAAGAAGTAGAACAGACTGAATTGAAGACAAATATATTAGAGCAAACATGGGGAACTGGAATAACAGGGAAAAAATTTAGTGAACACAAATGGTCTAGTAGTGAGTCCTTCCAGAAAACTGGCAATCAAATGGTGTCCTTTAATTCAAATAACATATATAAGAATAGAGGGAAATCTATTTGATGATTTAAAGGCATTGATATGAAAGCCTAGTTGGCAAAGGAAGAAAGCTAGAATAAAGTTGAAAAAACTGGGATTTTGACTCATTAGAGGGGATTTTATATTGCCAAAGAGTGGGTTAAAGGGAGAGTCTCAACTAGAGGAATTTTGGTTATAGATTAAAAATATTTGGAAACCATTGAAAATAAGGATTTTATCGGTTTAATATTTAAAAATTAGACATAAAAGGGAAAAGAAAATTAATTATTATGAATATGTTTGATTTATTGATTAACCCAGGCAATATATATATATATATATATATAATGGTTTTGATTTATTAAAAATGATATTGTTATTCAAATAGATAAAATGTGTATTTTGAATATTATAGTTTGTTATGAAGTGAGATAAGGGAAATTTTGGTTACCCAAAGTCTGAAAATTAAAAATATCAAAGGTTAAATTGGAATAATGATAAGAAATTAAAAATTGAGTAAAAATCAATAACGGATATGGATTGTTTATGAAAATTGAATATAATTAAGATATGTATAAGCTAAAAATTTATTGATAAATGTAATAATGATGTTCTTATTGAGTTGATATAATCAGAAATCTACTAACCTGAATATGAGACAGTAATTGTTCAGGGAAAAAGAGAAAAAATATTTAATGTTGTAACCTGAGATTTGCACTATGATTTTGTTATTGAGCTATTGATTAACCTAGTCACCATGTTGCTTTTTAAATATTCAAATGTAAAATTGGAAAATTAATAAAATATTATAAAAAATGAAAGACTTTATGCTATTTATATAATTATTATATACAAGCTTTTCTGAAACATTTAAACTAAAGAACAAAATGTACATATATTTAATTAAACTGGCTTAAATACTGGCTTAAATATATATTTAGATTGTTCATCAGCTTTTGTACATGCTCCAAACATTTATGTATAGATGCTGACTTTTTTTCAGTATCATCCTCACCCAAGAGAAAATTCAACTAAATTTAAACATTTCTGTAATTTATTTACTTCACTGGGAAAATTAAACATATTCTTACATTTTCTTTCACTTCACTTTCTTCTTCTACTGCCTAATTTCTTGGATTATTCCTCATTTTGCAACTTATTTTGTTTTAGTCTACATTAAGTTGGTCTTCCATTTCTCTATATAATTCAGCCGAAGACAAATGTGCAATTTTACCATCTGTCAAAAGAAAGAAAAATATTCTCTTTCTCTTTATAAATTTAAATATTTAATTGATATTGAAGAAAACACTCTTTCTAGATACAGAGTATTGTATAAAAATACCTACCCTACTTATTATAGCCCAAACTGTTACATATGTTTGAGATTTTCAGAGCCGTTCAGCATAGAATGACATTCCCAAATGGTTAAATTCCAGCTGGTATTGCAGGTGTTCAGTAGTTAAGAGATGTTTTAAAGCTGCTCGTCGAAGCTGTAAAAAAAGACATTATTAACAATTCATCCCTTGTTACTAATTCTACAGTCAAACTGTTAAATCATTGATTCTCCACTATTCTTTTCTCCTATTATCTCATCATTTTTGTGCTTCTTATGACCAGGGCTTTTTTTTTTTTGTCACAGAATGCCCAGAACAGAGTTCCGGCACTTTTTTTGGATGGAACCTTGTAGGGTAGGTTCCAGGATTGTATGACGTGTGAGTTCCAGCACCTTTTCTTTTTCTTTCTTTTTTTTTTTTTACAAAAAAGCACTGCTTATGACAATCGTAACAAGTTCAACTTATAAGAAAGTTTGATTATATTTGTATCTAGCTCCAAAAGGTGTCTAAGCAGAAATAAATAATAGTCCACCCCATTCTTCTAGACATATGGATTTTCTATCTTTAGTTCTCAGTAGAATTGCACTTTTCCAATTAAAATTTGTATGTAATTTGAGGATTCTTCTGGTTGGCACTTTTTCTTAACATGCAGAAAACAGCTGTCATAACAGTCATTGCACAAATCTTATGTGTCAAGTATATTCTTCACTGGACTGGAAAATCCTTCTCATGATCATTCTTCTCTCAGTGACCTCCCACTTCGGTTACTGAATTTTCTTTGCATGGAGTTCTTGAAGGCTACCAGAAACTAAACTGGTCCAAAATACCACCATGCAAACACTTATTAGTGCCCTCAAAATATCTCTGTTCCATCACTGATTGCCATAAGGATTCCGGATACAATTAAATGTCATAGCTCTCCTATAAAGTCCTACTTGGATTAGAACTTGGTTACATTTAGAACCATTTTTCTCCTATAATTTCTGCTTGACTTGTAAGAGCTGGTAGAACTGATGCAATCCAATTCCAATTCTAAAATATTGCCATTTTAGGGAATGTAGACATCACACCTCTACAGCAGAATATGCTTCAGAGATTTAAAGGTTCCATATCATCATAACTATAGGAAAACTTGGCTATTTATACAGATTTTAGAGTACAGCATAATATTCCTAGGTATTCAATAATTATGTTATTTCTATAATTTTTATTATTGTTTTAATCATAGTTTGTAAACAACCTAAAGTAGCTTGATAATTGAGGAAGCAAATAAAGCAGATAGAGGATAGATAGATAGATAGATAGATAGATAGATAGATAGATAGATAGATAGATAGATAGATAGTTGTTTTCTGAGGTTTTCGCGGGTGTTTGTATGTAGGTCTTTGGTTGTTCGGGTTTTCTCCCACGTAAAATTGGAAGTGTCTTGGCGACGTTTTGACGAAGTCCCATTCGTCATCTTCAGGCTGGTGTTTTCAGCTTCGTGCTTGCTGCTCGAAGCACGAAGCTGAAAACACCAGCCTGAAGATGACGAATGGGACTTCGTCGAAACGTCGCCAAGACACTTCCAATTTTACGCGGGAGAAAACCCGAACAACCAAAGACCTACATAGATAGATAGATAGATAGATAGATAGATAGATAGATAGATAGATAGATAGATAGATAATTTATGAACAAAATTTGTATTTGTTCAATGTATGTGTATGTATACCAGCTAACCCAAGGGAAGACATTGCTGATCTTGAAAGACCCGCAGAAGAGAACACCACTGCCAATTACCAGCCAATAATCTACCTCCCAAAACATAGAAAGTCTTAGTCAGGTATTATAGTCACCACTGTACATGAGCCCAACTCAGAAAGACACTGGAACAACACTAGAGGCTAAAAACAGCACTTGCTTATAGACAGAACAGTCAGGGGTATCAAACTGCCGGCCTGCAGTCCGGATGCATCACACAAAAGCCGCGCCCACCCCAACTCTGGCAAAGGGAAAAAAGGCATGATACATCATGACACGTCACATGATGTGGCGAGTTTGATACCCCTGGTCTAGATAGACTAGTCTGAGCACAACCTAGACTGTCAACAGGAAAGCCTACAAGTAATGCCACAGACATGTATCTGTGAATGCCTGACACTATACAAGATGACATTAAGAACCTTCCTCAAGAACTCAATGGGACAGTGGAAGACAAACTTAGAAGTCAACTCAACACAGCTCACATAAGTAATGCCAATACCAAGGTAATGCACTGTCTCTGCTACTGTTCTACATAGGCTTGAGCCCCCTCAGCCAGATAATCACAAAAACTAAATATGAATGCAATTTCTAAAGTGAAACTACCATCAGCTACTTCCTCCATGTGGAAGACATCAAGTTGTATGGAAAGAATGAATGATATATCAGTTTGATGATGTTATTTGGAATAGACACATATAGCCAGTTGGTAATCAAGAGAGAGAAAATAAGACTGATGGGTGGAATTACTAGTGAGTCACATAGCAGACAAATGGGCCAGATTCAAATGCCTTGTTACCCACAGTCACATGGGAATCATGAGGAGGAAGCAAGAAATACAGCAACATCTAAGTACCACCAAAGGATTAGAAGGTCCTGAAGAGCCATCTCAATGGGAATAACAAGATCCATGCCTTTAATATGTATGCTCTACCAATCATCAGATACTCTGCCAATATAATAAGCTGCCCAAAGAAGGACATGGAAGCTGCCAATGAGAAGAGCTGGAAACTCCTCACAATGTATGGAAGTGGGGGTAATCTGGCTGTGACATCTGTTAGGGTTGATTTGATTAATCTGGCTGGCCAAGTGGGTTCCTCTTTCTCCCTTATGTGCATCCCTCCTGAAGCTGTGTGCTCAGTGGAAAAGGATGACCATCCCAGATAGGAGTATACCAATCTTTGGTCAAGGGTATATGATAGCTCACAAGATATAGAGGTTTTCACCTCAAGTCCAATACCCAGAGACTTTACACTAGACAGAAAGAGAGCAGTTGGGCTATGTTGAGTGTCAATGCCACTGTTGTGGATGAAACCCAAAGCATCCAGGAATACTTCAGTAAGATCATAGCCAATGATGAGCTGTTGATAGAATTTCTGAGGCAGCAATATCTATAGGAGAAAGATTAAGCAGAGGAAGTGCCATGACACAATAAGGCCCTGTGGGTGGAAAGGGCTGGAGTGAACAACAGCACTGAGGCACTAAATCCTAGCAGCACAAGAACAGGCACTAAACACCAAATCCATAGAAGGAGTCTACCACACTAGACAGGACCCAAGGTGCAGACTATGAAGAGAGATTTCAGAGAGAGTCCAACACATAGTGGCAGGGTGTAAGATGCTGGCAGGAACAGCATACACTGAACTATACAACCAAGTACTGGCATTGTGCATAAAATATAGGCTAGACCTTCCTATGTCTAGACTGGAGAGCTAGAAAGTTTGGAAAATAATAGGGCTAAGATCCTGTGGAATTTCCAGACAGGCAGATACTGGCTAATCAACTGGACATTGTGGTAGTAGACGAAGTCTAGAAGTCAGTGGTGGTAATAAATGTAGCAATGTCAAGTGACAGCAACATCAGGAAAAAGTATGAAAAACTGGAGAAGTGTCAGGTCCTGAACTGGAAAAGATATGGAAAGTTAAGACCTACCCAGTAGTGGTAGGAGAACTCATGGCTGTGACACTTAAGGTAGGAGGGTGATTCCAACAGATCCCAGAAACAACATCAGAGCTCTCAGTACAGAAGAACACAGTCCTAGAAACAGTTAAGATCCTGTACAGAACCCTCAAACTCCCAGGCCTCTGGTATAGGACCCGCATAGAACCCAAAATTGAGAAAGAACAGGCCACCCATAAGGGTGAGAAGGGAATTTTATATCTCTCTCTATCTCTATCATCTCTATCTCTGTGTATCTGTCTCTCTATATGTCTGTCTGTCTGTCTCTATCTTCAAAATGGAAGTGTAGAAAACAATCATTTTAAATGAGAAATCCTTTTTCATTTCATCAGCCAGTTCTTTTTTGCCAATTGATAGCTAAAATCTGGCCCTAGGTTCTGCCTCAGTTTATCTTCCCAATCAGCAACAAGTCAGAGGATCATTTAAAAGCAGTTTATTAGGATACCCTGATAAAGTGGGATCTCCCAATGAAAAGGAAGATCCCCGAGACCCATCTTACATTCCTTTTTATAGCTAACACAACAAAGAAAATGCAAGAGGAATGATTGGACAAGAGAAAAATAACCTGTCATGGTTCTGATAGATGAGACCAATTAAAAGAACTTCAAGGCAAGGAATTCTTCCTCAAAGAACATTTTTATTTGGCTACAAAATAATGGCACATACAAAGGTGAACCCAAGACTAAAATCCTCTCTCCTTGGTTACAAACTTACAAGTTGCAATTCCCACTCCAATTAGATGTCATAAATCACATTCACCAATTAGTAGGAAATGCGGGCACTCCTCCCAGCTGCCCAGCCCACCAAAATGCTGTCAGTAATGACCTTGGTTCCCATACATCAGATATGTCAAATACAAGGCCCGGGGACCAGATGCGGCTCGCAAAGTGGTTTCATGTGGTCTGCGAAGCCATCCTGAAAACAGTGAGGGAACGGCCCCCACTGCCTTGGCCCTGGCCCAGGCCGGCTGGGAGCCAATGTACAATTTTGTAGTGGCTATCTATGCTGAAACGCATTCAGTCTTAGCTCCACAAGGCTGACTGGAAACAACAAGGAACCAACCCCTGCCGTGTCGGCCATGCCCCCTGGGTGCATGCTGGGAGGTGTCACCCTTGTGAAGAATGAAGAAATGCACCATCGCCTGGAAGTGACCAGCAAATGGCCCTTGCCTACTTCATATATCCAGCTTGATGGGCTCCAGCGGAGGGGTTTCAGCAGGCAGTGAGGTTCCTCCAGTGGACCATGCCTTGGCACTTGCCCCAATCCCACCCCCTTCTGTCAGAGACCCTCAGATCTGTTCCACTCCTGCCCAGGCCCCCACAGGCACCCTTGATGTGAATGATGTAGAGCTGGCCATGCCCACCTAATAGGCCACACCCACTCTGTCCACACCCACCCAGTAGGCCCCCCGCCACCTCCCGAGGGCAACCGCAATGCTGATGCGGCCCTCAATGAAATTGAGCTTGACATCCCTGCCATACATGAAATTGTTTTGACTAATTCAGAACTACCCCCTCCCTCTTTCTTTCTTAGGTTGTGGCAACCAAAAAGTGAAAATAGCTTCAGTACAGTTCATTGTAATGTTGACATAACTCTCTTTTGCACAGTAAATCAACTACAAAGTTCATTTGAAGTTAGAAACCAGATGCCAGTTGACACTAAGAAACTTTTTCTGATCACGAGGTAGTCTCCAGCCATCCTTCTGTAGCTTATCTTTTCAGTTTAGGAATGTACAGCAATAGAATAAAAGTTTTTTCTACATTCCAGTCTGTAATGAGACTGAACATAATTTCAAAATACACGAAATACATCAAATTAAAATACAAAGCAGCTATGTTAGTTAACACATTACAAAATCCATGTCATGTGCCCATCATAATTAATATAAGGCCCTCTCTTCATCATCAGTGCCTAAGCGCTTTACTAAATATGTAAGAAATCACTAGCCCAAACTCCAGCAGAGGTGTGTGTATGTGTGTGGTAATATGGTGAAGAATTTTTCTTTTCTTTAGCTAATTAGTTTTTCCTAGCTAACAAAAAGACGTTAGTTTTTTATTTGTTTTTTTAATTATAGGATTTTGCTACTTCATCATTTCTCCAGTAATTTGAGACAAAAGAGTTACCTAGATAATATTTTTAAACCAGCATCTTATTAAATACCAGACAAAGCTAAGTCACTGTGCTACTTAAATAAAAAAAAAACATGTGAACTTAGAAGCTTTTAGATATTGAGGTAACTTTTACCCATTTTAGGTATTCTTTCCTCTGAAAAATAGTGAATGAACTGTTGAAGTTAGCTTATAAGAAAGAAAAGCATTTCAGGCCTAAACCTAAAAGAACACATGAGACAACATGAGAAAAGAAAATTTTTTTCCAACCATAGCAGGAAAACGTGTCCAGAGGCTACATTTTCAACAGGACGGAAGTGTTTAAAAGCTAACATCATCAATTTATGCCTTCAGAAAATAGGTCTCTCTCTCTCTCTCTCTCTCTCTCTCTCTCTCTCTCTCTCTCTCTCTCTCTCTCTCTCCTGTCAAAGGGTATCTAGGAGGATTTTCAGAACTAAATAAATTAATATTTTGTAAAAGTGTTTATTAGCATTCTTTTTTCATTTCTGCTTACCATGATCAGCTGTTTATTAGCATAGTGCATTTCTTCTTTCATTTCTGCTTGGTGCCTCTTCCTGCTTCTTGCAAAACACCTGTCTTCCTGTGATTTCAGCTGAAGGCACATGGCTCGGCCACGTTCCCAACTAGGTAAATAAGTGTGATTTGGACATAGCGTGGAATATCAATAGTGTAATGAATTTTGATACCGTAATTTATTAAACAGAACTTCTAAAATTATGTTTCTTTAAGAAGTTACATTACTGTATAATCAGAGTTGTGCAATTCATATTCAAAGAGGAAATGTCCATATATGAGCCATTTGTCCATTTATAAATGTCCATTTGCAATTCCACCTGACCAAGTTACTTTTTAAAAAATATTAAGTTAAAGCAAGTATATTTTTAGTAAAACTTAACAATAACTTAGGCTGTGCAGTGTTTCATACTTAACAGAAAAATGTGCTTAGGAAGACATAAGATATTTAAGTACCACCAGTCAAAAATTGCTTAAGGTAGCAATTTTTGCCTGGGATGAGGTGCAATCAAAATCATACCTGGTAGGAGACGATATGAATTTTAATCTTTTTCTCTTTCAATGTATTCTTGATGCTTTCTGTCAAGATGTTACAACCCTCCCTCCCCCAAAAGCATATATTTATGCCACATTTCTATAAGTGTAATTAGCATCTGTATATATAGCATAAAGGACCCTTCTCCCAGAATACTTGGTCTTGCTTGCTACATTCTTCCTATATTTCCCCCCCCCCCCCAAAAAAAAACCATACAGCAGATTTTTTTTTAAGGTCAGGTTAAATGTAAAAACAAATTAATGTCATATGTCAGTTTTAAAAGAGAGAAAAAGAACTTATGGGTATGATATGCATTGAGTCTTAGAAGGCTCATCCATATAGCCTTTTCCCCACAATGAATAAATGCCCGCATGCCTGTGCCCAATCTATGCAATCTCCCCATAGCCAATCAAGAAATATTGAAGGATTATATTTTGAAAAAAAGAAAGGTTTGCATGAACTAGGCTAAGCAAGCAGTACATTCAAAATTATTCTTAAAACTAGGACTGCTACATAAATATTCTGCTGTATGTTATATATATTATGTGCTTTTCTATTCAAATTAGTTCCCAAGGCAGCTAATATTTTTTTAAAAATCCAAACAGAACTTAAAATTTGCTAAAATTAAAATCATAGTAAGAAAGATGGACTTGATATGGTTCCTTAACATTCCTTGTACTAATTGTTTTCTCATGTTAAGCTTACATCTATATTTTACCATAATTTACACAGGTAGTCCTTGATTTACAACAGTTCATTTAGTGATTGTTTGAAGTTACAATGGCATTGAAAAAAGTGACAACTGTTTTTCACACTTACAACCATTACAGCATCCTCATAATCAACATGATCAAAATTCAGAAGCTTGACAACTGATTCATGTTTATGATAATTGAAGTGTCTTGGGATCATGTGATTACCTTTTGTGATCTTCTGACAAGCAAAGTCAGTGGGGAAGTCAGATTTGCTTATCAATCATGTCACTAACTTAACAACTGCAGTGATTCATTTAACAACTGTTGCAGGAAAAGTTGTAAAAGGGCAAAACTCACTTAACAAATGTCTGACTTAGCAACATAAATTTTGGACTGAATTGTGGTTGTAAGCTGAGGATTACTTATATATGGCAGTGAATACAGTACATAATCAGTAAATATGTACCACTATAAACTATCTCAAAAGGAAAGTATGTTTAGGAAGCACTTTGTGTTTAATTGTTTATAGGCTACCCAGAGTTGCTTTTTGTGAGATCTGAGACTATAAAACTTTATTAATAAATAAAAAATGCTTACTTTGGTTTAGAAGGTAAGTTTATTCCTTCTGTCAATTCACAATTAGGATGTATGTGTAAATTATTCCTGGCCACTACATATAGCTTTTAAGTGAAGCAGTTTAAGATGAATAGAATAGAATAGAATAGAATAGAATAGAATAGAATAGAATAGAATAGAATAGACCTTGGAGGTCTTCTAATCCAGCCCCCTGCTCAAGCAGGAGAACCTATACCATCTCAGACAAGTGATTTCTGAAGGCATGTTGTTCCGCTGGTTAATTGTCCTCACTGTCAGGAAATTTCTTCTTAATTCCGGGTTGCTTCTCTCTTTGATCAGTTTCCAACCATTGTTTCTTATCCTACCTTTGGAAAATAATGTGGCCCCCTCTTCTTTGTGGCAGCCCCTCAAATACTGGAATATTGCTATCATGTCTCCCCTATTTCTTCTTTTTTCTAGACTAGCCATACTCAAGTTCTGCAGCCATTCTTCATATGTTTTAGTCTCCAGGCCTTTAATCGTCTTAATTGCTCTTCTATGATTTTTTCCAAACTCTCAACATTTTGTTTGTAATATGGTGACCAAAATTAGTTGCAATATTCCAGGTGTGGTCTTACTGGGATTTTATAAAATGGTACTAATACTTTGCATGATCTTGATTCTATGCCTCTGTTTATACAACCCAGGATTGTATTAGTTTTTTTGGCTGCTACTGCACATTTCTGGCTCATAGAAAAGTGATTGTCCACTAGGATTCCAAGATCCCTCTCAGAGTTACTGTTTTTGAACCAGGTCTCACCTAATCTGTACTAGTACCTTTGATTTTTCTTGACTAAATGTAAAAATTTGCTTTTCTTCACATTGAAACTCATTTTGTTGGCTAGGGACCACTGTTGAAGTTTGTCCAGATCTTTTTAGATCCTGAGTTTGTCTTCTGGGGTTTTGGCTATTCCTGCTAGCTTAGTGTCGCTAGTGCTTGCAAAATTTGCAAATTTGCAACTTTAATGAGTTCCCCTTCTATTCCCTCATCAAAGTCATTTATGAAGAAATTGAAGAGTACTGGGCCTAAGACAGAATCTTGTGGTACCTGACTGCTTACTTATCTCCATGTGGATGTAATGCCACTGAGGACTACTCATTAAATACGGTTTGCCAGCCAGCTGTAGATCCATCTAGTGGTGATATTGTTTATTCCACCTTTTTTTAGCTTACCAAGGAGTAGTCTACTTTATCAAATGCCTTACTGAAATATAACTACACTATGTCCACAGCATTCCTCTGGTCTACTGGTTTAGTCACTTTATCAAAGAATGAAATGAGATTGATTTTGCATGATCTGTTTTTAACAAACCTGTGCTGGCTACTAGTTATAACTTTGTTTGCTTCTAGTTGTTCGCAGATCTGTTTTTTGATAACCTTTTCTAGGATCTTCCCAGGTATTGATGTTAAACTGATTGGTCTGTAGTTTCCTGGGTCCGTTTTTTCCCCTTTCTTGAAGATGGGAACCACATCAGCCCTTTTCCAATCCTTAGGTACTTCCCCTGTGCTCCAGGATTTATGAAAGATATGATGCAATGGTTCTGAAATAACATCTGCCAGAGCCTTCAGAACTCTGGGATGTAATATGTTGGGTCCTGGTGATTTATGTTCGTCAAAGTTTCTTGCTTATTTTAATTTTTGTTTCTAGTTTGTCTTTTGCAGTGGTTTTTTTGGTATATTGGGCTGTAATTTCTTTTTGTTTAAAGACTAATGCAAAGAATGAGTTAAGCAGCTCTGCTTTCTCTCTGTTGCCTGTTATTTCCTTGCCATCTTCTCTCTTTAGTGGACCTACAGTTTCCTTGACTTTTTTCTTGTTATTACCGTATATTCCGGCATATAAGACAACTGGGTGTATAAGAGGACCCCCAACTTTTCCAGTTAAAATATAGAGTTTGGGCTATACTCGCTGTATAAGATTACCCCTCTTCCAATGCGCACCAAATAAAAAATTAAAAAACATCAGATTTGATTTCAATATGGTAATTTTAATTCAAATGCTTATGACATGCAGGTACTTAGCAGGAAAATTGTCACTTATAAACATAAGGCTGTTTGTCATCAAACATGTAAACATAAAACAGTGCAAGTGGATTAAACTATTCCTAATTCACTCTAAAGCTGAAAGGAAGGATAAGACAATAAACCCATGGGAGCTGCCATGCTGTTTGTTTTCTAAGCTATCAACCAAACTGGAACTGATGATGATAGGAAGAAGATAACAAACAATAGAGAGAGCAAGTGCCGGGCAAGTCCCTGGTGAGTCAGCAACGCCCATCATAACTGCAAGCTATTTTTACAGGTTTTGCTGGCGTGACACTTTCCCTTTAAAAGCCTTCAAAATCATCCTGTTCGTCATCTGATATCAGAAAAATATCAATGACATTTTGTGATACATTTGTAAGGCAGTCATCATATGGATCGAATTCTGTATCAGATGGCGTGGTCTCAGCTTCGGCTTTCTCTTCATCTTGCCACAAGTAGTCGTCCTCCATACCATCTAATGAATTTGATATGCCACACTTCTTGAAAGACTTGATTATTGTTTCTGCATCAATATCATTCCAGGCTTTTATGACAAACTTGCACAAAACATCCAACTGTGGAGCATGCATGTTTCCTCCTTTTGTGAATGACTTTTCACCGCTAACCATCCATTCATTCCACTGTTCTTGAATGCGATCTTTAAATGGCTTGTTTAGGCACACATCCAGTGGCTGTACTAACGATGTCAATCCTGCAGGAATAACTGCCGCATCTGTGTTTAGTCTTGCAAGCCTTTGCTTGGTGCTGGGAGTTAAATGAGCCCTGAACATATCCCACACCAGTAGACTATGTTTTTGAATAAGTCCACCTGGTCGCCTGCTCCATACATTATCAAGCTGTAGCTTTACCCCTTCTTCATCATCCAGCCTTTTTCATTCACATGTACAAAACAACCAACAGGGAAATTGAGTTTCAGCATTGTTTTTCTTTTAAAAATAATCACTGGTCTCAGTTTGGCACCATCAGCTGTGCATGCTAGTACCACTGTAAAACTGGACTTCTCATGTCCTGTTGTTTTAATTAAAATTGTTTTTTCACCTTTTTTATGGACAGTTTTATTTCCAACCATATCAAAATTCATTGGAGTTCCATCCATATTTCCAATACTACTTAACGCATAGCCATGTTTAATGTTGTATTACGTATCAAGGGAAATTAATTACTTTGCTATCAAGATCTGCAGGTAATTTTTGTGCAATTTTCATCTTTTGCCTCAGTACCATATTATGCCTTTCCAAGAATCTAGTACACAGGATACAGTGGCCTTAAATCTGTTGTGTGATCTGGGTTAGATTTGGCCCACTGAAGTGCAAACAAACGTATTTTATTTCATGTCACTACATAACCGTTTTGGCGATGCTCATTCACCATGTCTGCTACATGTTTTTCAAGTTCTGGCCAATGTGGGATGCCTCTTCTTAATGCACACTTACCCCTTGACACTTACCCCTTTAATGCTTTTTCATTTGCTTTCCAGTCCCGAACCATCTTTTCTGTTACTCCATATTGTCTTGCAGCAGCGCAGTTATTATGTTCCATGGCAAAGTTTACAACTTTAAGTTTGAAACTGTCTTCATATTTCTTTCTTCTTGCTGGTGGAGCCATGATGGGGTTTGACTCTTGGACATTATTTTGTACTGTATGTATTGGTGCTGTACTGTATGAACTGGTACAGATACTGGTGCTGTACTGTATGTATCCAGTATACAACAACCAGCCAATCAGATGATTGGCTGGTTGTTGTATACAAAGCCTGCTTGGATTGGGTGGGTCAGCTCTCCCTGCCTGCCCAGCCCTTCCTGTCATCTTATAGGTCCTAGGGAAAAAATGGACAAGCTAATAACCCTTTTACTGAAGAAGGGGAGAGGGAGTGAGGAAAGGGAGCAAAGTTTTCTGAGTTCTCATTGGCCACCTGTAAGCCCAAATGAGTAGCTCAGGGTGTATGTGTGCACGTGTAGGCATGCGTGTAACTCCCCAGGTCCCTTCCATTGCCCCCCCCCCCGGTAGCGAGCTCCAGCTTGGAGCAAGCAGGCTGCATACAAGGATCTCCTCCTCTCGGTCTTCCACCCTGCGAATCCTCCACAGCCTCCCTGAGCCGAGCGAGCGGAAAGCCTGCCTGTTTGTGAGCCAGGAAACTTCAGGGCTCAGCCTTGTCAATAGCACACACACCTTGATGAAAATTGCCCTGCCTGCAAAAGGACTTCTCAGCAGTTTTTTAAAGCAACACTACCAAGAATGAAATTGGCGACAGCCAGAATGTTTAGAGAAAAAGGAAAGGAAGCAGTTAATAAACCAAGTAAGAAAGGCATTCGCCCTTCGAAAACTTGCATTTCCACAAATGTGATAAGTTGCCCCCTTTTTAGGTAATGGAGGGGGGAAGTAAATGCTTTCCTTTTAATTTCGACTTTCCTTTTAATTTGTTATTAAAACTCAGTGCACTACAGTACTTATTGATGGGAGCCAGATTGACCAGCCAGGATCTGTCATAAATAACACCACAAATGGACCATGCAAGTTTATTTAGGTAGGGGGAAACCGCTGGCATAAGCTCGGTGGAAGTCGATGGGTGAAAGGACTATGTAGCTGTTTTCTGTCCCCCCTCCCTTCCTGCTTTGTAAATCTGAGAGGAATTTAGCTGACACCCGTCCCCTTCCAGACCCATAGTCTCCTCCTCCTTCCTCCCTAATGTGTGGGGCACGAGGAAAGAGGGAACGCCTTGCGCCGCCGCTGCCACCTGCCTGCCACTGCAGCTGCCGGTCACATGCTCAGTATGAGCCACCACTGCATCCCCCATGAGTATCTCCTACCACCCCGCCTCCTTTCAAGCTCTGCCTCCCCCAAACTACTCACACCGGGGGTGAGAGGTAAACGCCGAAAAGGGCCCAGATGAAGAAGCACTGAGAAGTGCCTCAAATGGATGCAGATGCTTACGTTTATTTTCATTATATAAAAAAACCACCCTACAACTCTTTTCCCCCCTTCCCCATTACATGGGCTATCCCTTTCTACTTCCTTCGAATGAATTAATCACGGGACGGCCATTACCAATCCGCAGTTCTGGAGCGGTGGGCAAGGAATTGGGATGGCGAAGGAGAGGGAAGAAGAGAGGAGGCGGTATGCAATGTAGCATTATAGAATGGGTAATAGACCTCCAGGAAATCTTACCATCACAACAGCCAGATAATCCCTATCGTACTCCCAGTATAGAGGCTGGAAAGAGATATCTTTAGTTGATCAGCTGGTTTTAATAATAATAACCCTAGGACTCTTTTTGAGCAAGAGGGGGGGGGAGAGAAAACTTGATGAGTAATATTTTTCCAGCATATAAGATGACTGGGCATATAAGACGACCCCTGACTTTTGAAAAGATTTTCAGGGTTTAGAAAGTTGTCTTATACGCCGGAAAATACGGTAATATGTTGGAAGCAACTTTTTTTATTATCCTTGATTTCTGTTGTAAGTTTTTGTTCATTCTGAGCTTTTGCTTTTCTGACTTCATCTTTGCATGTTCTGGCTGTCTGATGATAATCGGCCTTAGTTATGTGTCCCTTTTTCCATTTTTTGAATTTGTCCTTTTTGTCTTTCAGTTTGTCAGAGAGATCTTTGTGCAGCCATGCTGGTTTCTTCTTGAATTTCATGTTTTTCTTTTTCAGTGGTATTGTGCTGAACTGGGCTTTTATGATCACATTTTTTAGAGTTTCCCATGCTTCTTGAGTTGTTTTCCCCTTTAGGATTTTTATCCATGGAATCCTTCCTAGGTTCTCTCTGAGTTTTTTTAAAATGGATAGACATCAAGGCACTCAAGGATGCTTCTTTGATGTCAACCAAGTTCCCTGTCTTTTCTGGCTTTTTAATGTTTCTTTTAATTTGTTTAATTAAATGAGAAGATGGTATCTGAAATCATTTTATGAATAGGGAAAACCTTTTCCGTAGCAGATGTCAATTAAAGCACCCAAAAGTATCAAGTATTCAATTGTGTCATCAATCCTATATCAAGTTACCCAAGCTGTAATAACATCAGGGCTGTATTATTGTCTTGCACTGTATTTGAAAATATACTGTATATACTGTATATACTTCAGCTGATTTAAAATAGCAGACTTTAATTAGGACTGTGTGGTTTATTCATTACCAGATTTAATCAATACATAATATGCTATAGCCCCCAAAATATTGTTACTCATAACAAATAATTAGCCTTTATATGACCAGCAAATCCTGGTGTATCTGAATTCAGCCCAACAGAGGACTTAAATGAAGCCATGGGATTAGAAGAATCTGTCATTTGTCCTCTATTTGTAGCTTCTTTCTTATTTGCATTTTCAGGTAAATGTCAAAAAGTTTCTCATAACTAGATGCTTCCTGCCTTAGGGTTCAGGATTGAACAGGGACTTTTAATTACAATTAAAAAACAGAAATTGAAAATCCATTTACCTTTGAAGAAATTTGGAAAACTCTTTAAATTTTGCCAGCATCTGAAATGGAACAAAAGGTAGTATAAAGCAAAACAGTAACCTAGTATCTTGGTGCTAATGATTGTGGCAGAAGCTCTTTTTCACTTAACAAAATCTATAGTTTTATAAGTGAACTTTTTTTTTGCTTTACTATAATGTGAAATTTATTATCTCAGTTGAGCAACTGAGTCACTTTACTTTCTATTTAGCTATGGTGCAAGAGGACTTATAGTGAAGATGATTTTGCTATAAAGATTTTAAAGCTTGGAAGATAGACTCTTTCCATTGATGAGACTCTTCCCATGCTTTCTGGCTCTTTACTTTTCTCCTTCCAGATACAATAATAGATAAGATATAGCACTATATTATCAAAGTTATGCCATATTTTCAGTTCAAAATGTTTCAAAGGAGCAATAACGGCCCTTAATTTAAAATTGTTTATTCTAACCATTTTATCAAAGTAACCCCATTTTGACTTTAAAATATTTCTGATGGCAGGAACAAGTCTTTTCAACTTAAAATATATTTTTAAGCTGTTTTGAGTTTTCAAACATCTCTACTAGGTTTTCATTTATTCTTATAACTTTATAGGGTGAGTTTGAAATTCCCACAGAGCAATTGGGCCAATTTTTTAAAAAAATTACTTGCTAAATTTTGTGCACACTTGATATGAAGTTGAAGAATGCAAGAAGAACCCCTTTCTGAGTGAGATGGGTCATTTAGAAATATGAAATGTAAATTAAAAAATAAAATATTCCTACCATTTTGAGATTAGTTGAAAGAAGAATATTTTTTTCAATATTTTTGAAAATGGGGATATGAAAGTGTTCCCCATAACACTCATAATGCTGCTGAGAAACATTGTTTTTTCTTCCTATGTTGTATGAACACGTTTGAAGTGCTCTTTTTCATCATAATTTGAATTTATAATATTATGTTCATCATTCTGTACATGAGAAAAGTTATTATACAGATTATGTTTATGAACTTGGATAACCTGACACAACCTCTTCCTAATAGTATATATGGGGGAAAAAATTTAGCAAGTTGTTTAGTCTAGCTATAAAGATGGGCCAGACTCCTGAATACAGAATGTTGATCAAATTTGATTATTCCCTAAATGATATTATCTTTCTCCCCTTTGTTACATTTCCAACTGAATGTGAGGATGTGATCAAATTTACGTGATTGTATGACTAATTAACTCCTTTTGAAGTTGCATGCATTGAAAAGTAGATTTAAAAATAGTCAGCACAAATTAATAACTACCTCTGTAAAAGTCATTTAAATATAATGTGGGATTGTTTTGAAAGTTCCTTCAGGCAAAGTATTTATAGGAATTACAAGTTTTTTTTAAAAAAAAATATTTCTCAGAAGAACCTGAATTTTACTTGGAGGGATCTGTTTTTAAAAATGTACTGGAACTTTATTATATTTGAATAAAGTTAAGTCTTTTAATTAAGCATAGTTCTTCTATTTTTTCCAGGAATCTTTAGACATGTTTAATATCCAGGCTTAATATAGGTGAATTTCTAACTTAACCTTCCCAAACAGGCAAAGACAGGAGAAAAAAAGAGAGAAGAAGATGCAGGGATGGGGGGGAGAAGAGAAATAATGAAATGCTGGATTAAATTAGACTTTAACATAGTTAAACCAGAGCAATTGAATGCAAAGCTAACTAGAAAATCTTTATAGCTTTAGATAATATATTCAAACTATATTCACTGGAATGTATAGCTTAGAAGAATAGGACTCCTCTTTTTGTTACTGTATGTTGCCTCTCTTAATATAGTTAGTAAATAGCAATACAATATGCTCTTTGTATTATTAGTCTCAACACAAGTCCTACCTCTTCTTCTTTCAGTAATTTCTCACGTAAGGCAGCATGGGTGAGTGGCTCTTTTTTCTGCTCCGAGGAAGCCATGGAGAAATCAGTATATGATCCCTCTGTTTTAATTCTCTTGACTGATGTAGATTGTTTCTTTAGTTGCTATGACAGAGAGCTTTCAGAACTATCAAAGAGAAGTGCCCTCATTGGCTGGTGCTGCTTGCTTAAGAAGGGAAAGGAGACACTGGCATGAATTCATACCTGGACTAATTCAAAAATATTTCTGTTGATGTTTTGAAGTGGAATTCTCTTGCATCTCCTGTCTGTCTGTCAGTCTCTCCATCCTTTCATCTGGAGTTTCAATATTTCAGCTTAAGGAGAAGATGACTCTAGAGGAAAATTGTGTATGTTATGTGCATAATGCAATAAACAAATGTTATTTATTTATGTTCCTCTGCCACACGAAAACTGTAAGTGGTTTATTAGATCAGTTTTATTTCTTTTTTAAAATTCTTATTCTAAGCTAAGAAAATCAGAAGTAATGTTTCAAAATCAGAAGCTTGATAAATTTATTTTTCCTCAATTTCTATATTCACCCACCACAGTCCTATCAACTCTGGATTTTCATTTATATTTACATCAGTTTCTGTTTCTGATTTATAATAGAAGTTACATAAGTACATTATATTTACATCTGTTTCTAAGGTGAAATCCAGGCTACGCCACCAACCCTGAGTTTGCTATATGAAAAACCTGAAGCTATATGAAAAACTTCCAGCTAAATTGAAATGTTGAAATGATAAAACTATGTCACTAAACCAATAATGAATGATATTTCTTCCTAAAATATGTTTCAATTTCATTAATATACTTGCAAGAAGTTCCAGGATATTCTTTTGAACTTCCTACTTACCTCTATATGGCTCTTAAAATTACCTCTTATAATTTTACCTTACAGGTGTTTTTCCTGTGATTGATCTTTTTAAAAAATATCTCCTATTTCCTTTTTCTGGCTTTTTTGTTCTATCTATTGGTATTCCTGATCTATATTTTCCCTAGAGTTTTATAACATAGAATCATAGTAAAGTGGTACCTGGAAAAATACTGATGGTCCGACAAAGGATGTGTATAAAAAGCAGATGGCCCAACAAAAATGTGGGTAAAAGAGAGGTTTGTTTTGCTTACAAGACAACTCTTAAATTTAGGATGGCCAGACATCCTGTTCCCAGCTCTGCACATGATATATTACTAACTGCCTGTCACATGGTATATCTAAATTGCTTAACACTTGATATATTGCTGATTGCTAAAAACATTCCAATGTAAACGAGGAGCTATCGATTATAGATCTGTCTAGTAGTTTTTCTATGTTAGAATAAGGACCTATAGAATGTAATGTGACCTGAAAATAACCCCCGCCAGAAAGGGTTATAAAAATGGTCATCAAGGTACAATCTGGGTTCAGATTTCTACAGCCAGGATGGCTCTCTGAACCTGCGCGCAATAAACTTCCCTTTCCTGAAAGAGCTGATTCAAGTTTTTCAATTCTACTACATTTTCTGGTGCATTGGCCGGGAAAAGCTTGAGTGAGGCGATATTTCGCTGAGGACGGCTGGACCCTTCGGACCTGCTGGTAAGCCATCTCTGAACAATTCTCCAGGCGCCATGGGGGTGTGTTTCCTCCAGGAGACAGCTGTGGCTTCGCAGCAGAGCCGACAGTACTGAAGGCCAGTCCAAGAACCCTTTGGGAAAGGAAAGGAAGTCTGAACCAACTCCTGGCCAGGATGGGTGTAACTACAAGGCAGGCGAGTATGTGTTTAAAGTAATGGTACCTATCTCATTTGAAGATAGAAGAGGGGGCCTGATCACTCCCCTGGACTCGGGACGGCGATCCTAATGAAGTCCGTGTTAGGTTGTGTGGGTGGTTAAGCCAGTGCATTCCCTACTAGTGACCGCCGGCGCTGTAGGTCATTGGCAGTGTGTTAGGATGGGGGGGCGTAGTATGGATGTGGGGTGGCCCCCAGAGGGGACTTTTAAGAAAACTATCCTAACCAATTTCAGTATATAGATCAGTGGGGGGATGCAGTAGCAGGACGAGCTGATGAGTTATTGCAATGTCAGGCTGAAATGGTTCGTTTGTGTGTGGCTAGACCCAAAGGGAAAAAAAAAAAAAAGCTTCAAGTACAAACTAAAAGAGTGAAAGATGTGAAGATTTCAGAAACTAAGGTGTCAGATGCTAAGAAGGAGATAAGGATGGAGGTAGAGGAGTTGATTCTCAGACCTCCTCCCTACGTTCCACCTTTCTCCCCCTTCCCCCCCCCCAGTGCCGGCTGTGGCAGAGCCAGCAGCCGCTCTGCCGGAGGAAGGGCTGATTGCCCCTGCTGTGTCCGAAGAAAGGCAGCCAGCTGTGAGACGAAAACAGAAAGGGGGAGGCTGTCAGCCCCCAAGGAGGAAGGGGATTTGGAAGGTCTCTCTGTAAATGTGAGGGGAGAAGTAAGTAAAGAGGGCAGTTGTTGAATATTTTGTTGACTCCCGAGGAAAGGGAGAAGTGGAAGGCTGCTGTTAGGCAGTGTTTGAAGGATAGGTTGCCGGCTGTGCGGGATATACAGCCAGAGATGGAAGCCAGGGCACCAGAAAAGGACCCTGAATGGAATACACAAAATCCAGGACACATGACTTTGTTAAAGGAATATCAGAATTTAGTAGTAGAGGCTCTTTGCAAGGCTGGAAAGCCTTCAGTAAATGTGTTAAAGCCGTCTTTTGTGATGCAGGAGGCAGATGAAAGTCCAGAAAGTTTTTTTGCAAAGGCTGATTGAGGCTTATGAGCTTTATACATAGGTGGATCCAAGGAGTGCAGACAATGTGTGAATGTTGAATGAGAGGTTCATAGCACAGAGTTATGAAGATATAAGAAAGAAGTTGCAGACGTTAGAAAGAGCATTAGGAAAGAACACTACAGAATTGTTGGAGGTGGCTAGGAAAGTGTTTGTTAATAGGGATAAGGTGGAAAAACAGGAAAGAGATGCTAGAATGCATAAGAAAATTGAGTTGTTGGCGGTGGCATTGCAAGGAGGGATCATGTTGGGACCCAACCAGTGTGCTAATTGCAAGGAGGAAGGTCATTGGCAAAGAGAATGTCCAAGAAGGCAGATGCGAGGTAGAGGTTGGAGAGGAAGAGAAGGCAGAGGACGTGGAGGTGTTGGCAGTGGGCCCCCCCATGCACTCCCCCTTCATGGGTAGAGGGCAGAGAGGGGCTCCAAGGAATGTGAGAGATGGTCCAGGGAATGTAAGAGATGGTCTGAGGAATGGGAGACATTGGAATAGAGACAGGGAGATTGAGGGAATTGGCTTGGCAGGAACTAATGGGTCAGATTGACGAGGACCTGGCTTGGAGGAAGCCCCCCCTGAGCCATTGGTTACTTTAAATATAGGGGGCAAACAGACAATGTTTTTGGTGGATACTGGAGCAGGAAGATCAGTTGTGGATTTGAAAGAGAGTCTTTGTGTGTGAAGTAAATATGACTGTTACTAACCTCAAGAGAAAAGAAGATACCAAAAAAAAAAAATAACCTCACTCTGTTTGTCTGGCCAACAAACAAAGTGAAGGAAGATGTGTTTGTTTATTTATTTACTTTTTTTTCTCCCTCTTAAGAACAGTCCAAAGTTACCTGCTCAGGCAGGAAATCCTATACCATTTTCTTGCCTATTCTGCTCTCTCCCTTTTGCAAATGTTAGTGTGTTAATGCCTTTTCAAACTCTATCTGCAGACACAACCCCCTTTCCCCCCTTGTTTTTTTCTGGCTGTGTTGCTTTGAGAGGGAGAGAGATAGAGAGAGAGGAGAAAAGGGGGGGGGTTGATCTTTTTAACTTTTTCCCTGCTTAGAATTCAGGTTTGAGAAAGGTTGGGTGGCTGTGAAAATTTAATGCCCACTTTTGCAATTTTTTCTATTCAAAAGAGGAGTCAGTAATTGTTGGACAACTTTTTTTGGGAAATTTTTGAGTTTAAATTGTTTAATATCAACCAAAAGAGTTTGCTTAGATTTGTAAATGTTCTCCCTATTTAATGGAAATTTAATGGAAATCTGTTTCCATCTGAATGGAATTTGATTAAATTGGGATTTGACTAACTTTATATTAAAAGCAATACTAGAGTTTAGAAAAAAAAACTTTCAGTAACTCAGAATATCTTATTAAACTTGTTTATTTTTTTGTGTGAAGTTAGAACGAAGTTGAGAAAAATTTTGGGATTATAAATAGCTATGCTGTTTTGAGTAAAGATTTGTATGCAAAACTGTTAGAAAAAGAGCTTGTGTTAATAAATGCAAACAGGGTTTGGTGAGCTCTCCTTTGTTGGTTCTTTGCTAGGTAATTTATTTATAAACAAGGACAAAGGTTGGAGGAGGTTTTGGCCCAGAAGTGTGTGCGTGGGTGGGGGGGAAGGCAGCCAGTGGCATTTTTATCTAAAATTGACATTTGGGGACATCTTGGTGGTTAGCATTTCTTATCAAGGGTGGACAATTTTAATCAGGAAGCCTTGGTATACACTTGTTCATAGCAAAGTGGTTTTCAGTTGTGGATTTGAAAGATGCTTTTTTCACGATTCCTATTCACAAGGCTAGCCAGCCGTTGTTTGCTTTTGAATGGGAGGGAGAACAAAAGAATGCCTTTAGGGAAGTGAAACGAGCTCTCACATCAGCTCCAGCTTTAGCCTTGCCTAACTTAGAGAAGCCTTTCAATTTGTATGTTGATACCAGGAAGAATGTTGCCTTGGGGGTGTTAACTCAACAATTAGGACAGTGGCAACGCCCGGTGGCTTACTTATCTAAGCAATTAGATGGGGTTGCCCAAGGCTGGCCACATTGTCTGAAGGTTCTTGCTGCTATAGCAGTCCTTTTACAGGACTGTAATAAATTGACCTTCTCATGTTCCATAAGTGTCCACCCCCCTCATGCAGTTCATTCTATCTTGGATAATAAAGGGCATTTGTGGATCAGCAGTCAAAGGCTTTTTAAGTATCAGGCGATGATGATTGAAAATCCTCAAGTGAAATTAGTGGTGTCTAACCGGCTAAACCCTGCCACCCTATTGCCCACAGAAGTGGATTCAGAACACAACTGCTTGCTGCCCTGAATTGGTATACAGACGGCTTGAGTTACATGAAAGATGGGAGGAGGGTTTCTGGATATGCGATTGTGAATGATGAGGAAGTGGTGGAAAGTAGTCCGCTAGGAGCAAACTGCAGTGCTCAAGTGGCAGAATTGTGGGCATTAATTAGAGCATTGGAAAGAGCTGAAGGGGAAACTTTAAATGTCTGCACAGATAGTAAATATGCTTTTCTAACTCTGCATGCTCATGGTGCTGTGTATAAGGAGAGGGGATTCAGGGATTCGGCTGGCAAACATGGGTTACATGGACACTTGATAAAGCATCTTCTCGATGCAGTACAAAAGCCAGCAAAGGTTTCAGTTATGCATTGTAAAGGGCCATCAGGGGGGAGTATGGGGGAACTGAATAAGCAAGTGGAAAAACTTAGGAATTATGTTGTTGAACAAACACCTCCTAAACTAATAACAAGATGTCATCCCTTTAAACCAGGGGATAAGGTGTGGGTAAAACATTGGAAACATGAACAACTGGAGGGGAGATGGGAAGGACCTTATGGAGTAATAATGGCCTCTCCTTTAGCAATAAAGATTGCAGAATCTAAATCTTGGATTCACTGGACCAGAGTTAAAGCAGCTGCAGAACCTCTGTGGACAGTGAACAGGGACCCCAAGGTTCCCACCAAACTCACTCTTAAACGTGTTTAGTATGTTTAATGAATATTTTATTGTTTGTAAACCAGATATTGTATTAGCACAAGTGTATCCTGCACATATATCTACGGCTGTCTGGCTGAAATTCAACCCCCTGCTAAGCCACACCCGGAAGCTGGCTTTCTATGCACGGGAGAAGAAAGGATGAAAGGCTTCCTTCTGCTTTTATATAGTACTATTGTTGCATGTAATAATGTTTGTCTTTCTAATTTAGGCCAATGGAGCAAGCCAGAAGAAGCTCCACGCCTTATCCAATCTTATGCTATAGGCACGGGCACTTGTAAAGGTCACCCCCCTATTGGATTTTTCCCAGAATGCTGGAATGGTAGCTGGCCTCATCCTTGTCAATTTCCCCAAGCATTTGACAGAATAGTTAAAGAAGCCTGTATTACAAGACCACCTGTCAATCCCGAAGCCTGTCAGTATGTTGGGTATATTCTTAGGAAAGGCATATGTGTAAAGGCCCCATATAAGAAGCCTCCTCCTCCTGTTACTCTGGAGTGTGGGCCTCCCTTATTCTGGGGATGGGAGCGGGTCACCCTAGTCTCGCAGTTGAAGACGGGATGGAAGGGGACTTGCATCGTACATGTTATCCCGGTGGAATTTGGAGTAACTATCCAAAGACCCCCAAGGAAGCGCCCAGAGAGAAAACGAAGCAGAAGGTCCCATCAGAATAAGGATATGCCCCATCCATTGGAGTCAAGGATGCAATACAATTTGTGGGTCCAACTGGCTCAACTAGCCAACACAACTGATTTTTGCCTTTCTGAAGCATATGACATGGAGAATCTGCTGTCCACATGTTTAATACCCGTATGTGTTCCTGTCACAGCAGCCAAGGAGTTCAGTCATCACGAGTTTAAAGAACATATAGGCTATGAAACAATGTACAGCTGGGGTCACATTTCCAAGTTTCTACCCACTGATGCTTTAGCTTTACATACTCCTAATGTAGCCATTCCAGAAGACTTACAATGTGCACATATCACGGGGTGTGAGCAGAATACACCTTCACCTCATTGCCTGAAAGTGAGCCAAGAAAGGCTAAATTGCACATCTTTCCAAACAGTGTCTTTTGGGTATGCAAACATATGGTTACCTAAAGGGTGGTTCTTCACATGTTGGAATTCCAGAGACAAGAGTATAACAACATACATACATCAGACCCAAGTGTTATGGAATGAAACTTATCTGCATAGATGAGATAAGTCTCATCAGGGGGGAATAAAGTGGTACCTGGAAAAATACTGATGGTCCGACAAAGGATGTGTATAAAAAGCAGATGGCCCAACAAAAATGTGGGTAAAAGAGAGGTTTGTTTTGCTTACAAGACAACTCTTAAATTTAGGATGGCCAGACATCCTGTTCCCAGCTCTGCACATGATATATTACTAACTGCCTGTCACATGGTATATCTAAATTGCTTAACACTTGATATATTGCTGATTGCTAAAAACATTCCAATGTAAACGAGGAGCTATCGATTATAGATCTGTCTAGTAGTTTTTCTATGTTAGAATAAGGACCTATAGAATGTAATATGACCTGAAAATAACCCCCGCCAGAAAGGGTTATAAAAATGGTCATCAAGGTACAATCTGGGTTCAGATTTCTACAGCCAGGATGGCTCTCTGAACCTGCGCGCAATAAACTTCCCTTTCCTGAAAGAGCTGATTCAAGTTTTTCAATTCTACTACAATAGCTCTGTAAGGGACCTTGAGGGTCTTCCAGTCTTCTATAAGGCAAAAGAGCTTATATTGTTCACTCATAGCCACTGACTTTTATATACTTTGTCATTTATTGTATTATAGCCATTACTTACTTAATAATGATATTCTTTTTGATTATCATTACCACTCTATTCCTTTGAGTGACTCATGTCATGACACATAACCTGACTTAAAGGGTTTTTTGAACTACTTAAGCTCACTTATTCTAAGAATAACTATTTAATGTTTGGACAATTTTAAACCTTCCTTGGTTTGTAGTTTTTATCTTATTTCCACTTTGTTTAAACATTTTATGTATAACTTTTCATTTATCTTTTAAGATATTTACCATTTTTTCATCATTTATATGTCATTTTACATGGCTGAAGCATGAAATGCATTTCTTTAAATCAGTATCAGGGATCTGTAACTCAGATATTGTAAGCATAGCGAGATTTCTTGCTTCATAAACAATTGCATATTATTCAGTATTATAGCTGGCCATCAAGGTGAAAAAGAAACTTAAAAAGCAAAGCAACAAATAAGTATTTTGCAGAACCTTGCTGATATTTTCTGAGTATTTAAGAGTAGATGCACTTTCTTTAAATTGATTTAAGTGTTTCTGATTTTGACATAACTCCATTCTCTAATATTAATGTGCAAGAGAACCTTAACCTTAACCTGTGACAGAGTCGTCACATCCTAATCAATAACTTACTGAGTTCAGTGTGATTCCTCTAGTTTTTATTTATTTAATAGGACTGAATCTAATAACATTTTTCATGAAACAAGAACAATGTTTTTACAGGTGTTGCAGTAGTTTCTTTTTTATCTTAAAATCACTAGAATCCAGAATTGTAGTCATTTGATTACCAACACATGAAGCCTTGGTTCATTTTGTATGTATTTTGAATTGTAAGTCAGTTACAACTCAGTTTCCCCAAAGTGGAATTAAAAAAAAACTCCTATGTGTATTAAGAGACCAATCTAAATGAAGACTGAAGAAGAAGAGAACAAAAATGGGAATGGGTTAGGTTAAAATGAAGGGGTTTTTTTGTTTATATATTTGTAAATAATTGTTGTATTATTTGTATGCAACTTTTTAGCATTTACAAAATCCTTTTAAGTGTTTAATAGATAAGGCATTATAAAATAAGTAATAGAAAAGAGGGGGAAATATGTACATTTGAGAGGTTATTTTAAATTGCAAATAATACTAGATAGCCATTTTTCCAATTTTTAATTTTATTATAAGTGCATATTTAAGTGGAAAATATAAATAAATTGAAATGTTAATAGAGAATAAAATAAAATAACCTAAGAAAAAGTGGATAGTTTTTCTTGTTAAAGCAATGCTGCAAAACTAGGCTTATTGCAATTGCAAGACTTGATTTCTAACACCCAAATTTTTTTCCATTGAGAAATTCTTCTTTGCTGAGTCCTGTTGAAATAAACAGGATCTGGGCTACTATTAATTTGGAGTTGCATCTTAGGCCAATCAGTTATGTCCTATTTCTTAATTGCAAGGAACTAAAGACCTTTGAACCTTTGTAAACAGTTCATTTAATAGAAAAAGGCTACTCAATGTAAGAAGTTATATTATGAAGCATTTAATTTGATTTATAAAACTACCACAGGAAATTTCATCATTCTAACAGGATTTTCACTTGATAATTTGTGATTAACAACAGTATACTTTTAATATATATATATATTATTAAGTTTCTGGTATGTTTATAACTTAAACAAAAACACTGTTGATTTTCTAACTATCATAATACTTTCCTTTTGGAAGTCTTCTAGTTCATTTTTTCACAATTTTATGGGTTTCTAGCAAAATATATTTTGTTAAACAAAAGTATAGGTTCTTTTTTTTTTTTTTTTTTTGACAAGTATATATTTTCTTGAACTGCCTATTGACTATTCTATTTTTTCCAGGATTTCTTCAGCAGTCGTTCCAGGGCTGCATGCAGTTTATTCACGTGGATGATCAGTTGGTGGATTTACATGCAATAGAGCAAAGAAAGTTGGGAAGTTTTGCCAATATCAGCATTGATATGTGTGCCATTATTGATCGGTAAGCAGTAAGTAAGGTGGATGATAATAATGTAATAAAATAATTTAGAATTCAATATTGATCTTCTAAATTTATTATTTAATTAACTTTTATCATGGTTAATAGCATTTGCAATAACCATCAAAAGACTTGCCTAATTTCCAAATGATGCATGACAATGAGATCATGCCTTTTCAACAACCTTCCTTTGCCATCTGAAATAATATCACTTTTTAAATTTCTTAATATGTTACTTTTAGCTATCCCTGAGCCAACCATAATTCATGATAAGCAATTATTACCTTGATAGTGGTCTTGGCTGCATATGTTTGCATTAATTTGATAAGATCTCATGAGTGAAGGAATACTTTTATGTATTAATACATCAGTACATTGATGGAGGGATTTTAAGAACGTTGCAAAAAGGTGCCTATGCATCAGCTGTAAATATAGTAGGTTGTTCTGTTTGTTATGGAAGTTTCCAAGTATTAAGTTTCATGCATTCGACACTGTGAATGGAAAATCGTATGAATTTTAGTCGTTTGATTTGGCAGTCAGATGTTATTCTTCTGAGATTGCTGACAATGCCTCATACAATTTTGGTTTGGAATTATCACAATCTTTATGTATTCTGTATGAATGAACTATTAGAAAGGCAATGAATGTTGGGTTTTTTTAAAAAAAAATGTGTGAGATCAAATCATTTTCACAACATTTTGTTTTCTGCTGGAATGTTGTTAACACATTTTAGTGAAAGAACACATTTCTTTCAGTTGAATTTGGAGGTTTTAAGTTAGATGAAACATATGAAGTATTTTGTCAATTTTTTTACAAAACTAAGACACACGCTTACTGTTGAGTCCTCGAGTCAATGGCAAATGAATAGAGCACATTCTGTAATTCCAATAGCCTTTTATTTCAGTAGTTCTCTCTCCGTCACAGCTCTGAGGCTCGCAGGCCTCTCTGTCTCCTTTAATAGAATCCCCGGGCAAAAAGGTAACATTCTGGCACACTTCTGCGCCTCGTGCATGTGCGCGAAGCCGGCACCACTCAGTCTGGTCCCGGGCAGCTTGCAACTGTCCGGGACCATTGCAACGTCCTGAGCCTGCCTTTTCAGGCTCAGGACACAACACCCCTTCCCCCCTGGATAAGACTTATTAACTATATAGGTAGTTATACGTGACCTCAACACGAGCGTGGTGTGCCAACCCAAGGACCTACATATCTGTTGCAGCTACTCACTAGCCACACCACAGAATGGTACCAGGCTATTGTTTTGGAATTAATTGCCCAATACTCACACTCCCAGTTTCCCAACAACAGCAGGCACCCTCTCACTTTCCTTGCTTTGACAGCAGGGTTACAAAGTCCTCAAGGTACTTGGGAGATCTTTTTACTCTCTGTGACCTCCTCAGGTTCTGAGAACCCCCTACTTCCTCTTGTGCAGAGGGTGGAGTGGAGTTGCCTCCTCTTTTAAACCCTGGTGGTCTCCGTGAACTGTGTCCTATTGCCTGGTCTGCTTGCTTGCCCACCGGGCTTGTCAGACCAGCACTTTGCTCCCCATTGAACCTGGTTGACCTGCCTAACTGTAGGCTCTCGGGCCGCTCTATGTGCCCACCAGTATTTGGCATTTCTGTAGAACTCTCCAAGTCCACAATGGACCTATCAACCGCATCCCTTCACTCCCAAGCCCTGTAACGGGATTGTCTGGGGTTTCTGCAGTGCCCCAATACTCTGTTGCCCTCCATTCTATGCCCGAGGTGCCAGAATCAGGATTTGCCTCTCTGACTACCTCCCTGTGTGAAGACTTCCTTTTGGAAGCAGTAGCAGTACTGGGCCAGCTTGACTGTTTGTGTGCCAATTCTCTTGCATTGTTTGGGTTGTTTGGATGCTCCCGGTTATTCTCCCTGAATAGAGTGCTGAATGGTCGTTGTGAATGATGAGTATGCCCTCTGGGTGACTTCCTGGCTGGAGTAGGCACTGGTGCCTGTATTATTTCTTGTTCCCCTGAATTCCTGTTAGGAACACTTGCGGAACCCTGGAACAGGCCTTCTTCGGCCTCTCCGCTTGGCCCTGGCTGCTGCCAACACTCTTCCCTTTGCCCATAGTGGTCCCCCTCCCCCCCCCTGGAGAAAGCCCAGGAGTTGCAGAGGGTAAGTCCAGTCTCATACGCACCTGATTGATATGCCGCCAAAGGACACGACCGTCGTCCAAGGAGACCTCGTAGGACAATGGACCAGTGACCTTGCATACTACAGCAGGAACCCACAAGTGACCGGGCCCATAGTTCCGGGTCCATACTGGGGCACCCAGTTGCAGACACCACGGTGCCCTGGGCTGGGTGACCCTAGGAGGCAGTCTGTCCGGGTGCAACCGGTCAAGTTTGGTGATCAGTTTGCACCCCCAACGGAGTTCAGCTGGGCTCTTCCCAGTGGAAGTTGAAGGTGTGGTGCGGTAAGCAAGAAGAAAGTCTGCCAACCTGTGGTGCCAGTCCCCATAGGTCAGTTTCTTTAAAGCATCCTTGGTGATGCGGACCATCCGCTCAGCCATACTGTTGGTGGAATGGTGCAGAGGTGGCATGACGAATCATGTTGGCCTGCAAGAAAGCCTAAAACTCGAAAGAGGTGAATTGAGGAAAAATTGTCAGAAACCAGAACATCTGGGAGCCCATATGCAGCAAAAATCCCTCTCAGTACTTGAATGGTCTTGGCAGCAGTGGTGGAAGAGACGGGTACAACCTCAAGCCACTTTGAATGGCTGTCAACAAGGCCCTAGAAGAATTGACCCTGAAAGGGCCCAGCATAATCGACATGCATTCTAGACCAAGGTGACTGTGTCTCCTCCCATCTATGTACAGAAGCCTGAGGCATTTCAGGGTGTGAGCGCTGACACAAGTGGCATCCATGCACTTGAGCCTCTATTTCCCTGTCTAACTCTGGCCACCATAAATGGCTATGCGCAAGCACCTTCATCCTGACAATGCCAGGATGACCCTCATGAAGGGAAGCCAAGACCCTAGGTCTCATTGAGGTAAGAATAACAACTCTGCTGCCCCACAACAGACAACCCTGAAAAGTGGATAACTCATGCTTCTTGAGCCAGAAACTCTGAAACTCAGTACCAGGACAACTCTCAGGCCATCCAGACAAAACCCAGGACAATACACAAGTGAGTGTGAGATCCGTGGCTGATTCAGCAGCCACATCCCTGGCATTTAAGGGAGACTCAGGCAACGCCTGAATGGAAAGAATGTTGATGGCAGGGGCAGGGTCAGCCTCTATCATTTGTAAAGGTAATCTACTAAGGCCATCAGTTTGGCCCATTTCCTTGCCAGGTTTGTGAACCAATGAAAAGTCATAGGCTGACAGAAAGATGGACCATCTCAGCATTCTAGGGGAAATGATATGGGGGGTTTGTTTGTTTGTAGTAACAGAGGATTATGGTCAGTATAGACCGTGAAGTGTCTGCCATATAGAAAATCATGGAATTTTTTAATTCCAGCAACAATGGCCAAGGCTTCTCTGTCTATCTGAGCGTAGTTTCGCTCAGCAGAGGCCAAGGTTCTGGAGTAATATGCAACAGGAACCTGAGTTCCATCAGTTCTTAAATGGCTAAGTACAGCTCCCACCCCATAAGGGGAGGCATCACAAGCGATGCACACAGAAAGAGTTTCATTAAAATGTGCAAGCATATCATTTGATGTAAGTAAGGCCTTGACCTCATTGAAGCTTTCTTCATGTGCTTGTGACCACTGCCACACTGCCTGTTTGTCTAAGAGTCTATGAAGTGGCTCTGCTACATTAGCTTTGTTACGTATGAATGCATTGTAAAAATTCAAGAGGCCCAGAAAAGCTTGTAACTCAGCTTTAGACTTAGGCCTAGGAGCTTGCAGTATAGCCTTTAATTTAGACTCAGCAGGATGAATACCCCTGGCATCTATTCTGAATCCCAGGAAATCTGTAGAAGACACTCCAATTTTGCATTTGTCTTTTTAAAGTTTGAGACCTGTTTTCCTGAAATGCAGCAGAACAGCCCTCAATCTCTCAGCTAAATTTTGAGTGGATTCTCCTGCTATAAGGACATCATCAAAATAGGGGCAAACCCCTGGTATACCTCTCAGGGTGTTTTCCATTACACTTTGGAAAATTCCAGGAGCTACATTTACTCCAAATTGTAGTCTTTTGAATTTGAATTTCCCCCTATGAGTTACAATAGTCTGTGCTTCAGCAGCAACTTCATCAACAGGTAACTGTTGATAAGCCTGTACTAAATCCAGCTTTGCAAAAACACACACCCCTTTGAGGGAGGCCAAAATATGGCTGAATACAGGTACAGGATATGCATGCTGTTGCAATGCCTTATTTAGTGTGCATTTGTAGTCTGCACACATGCAAATGTCCCCATTAGCCTTGAGAAGCGTGACTATGGGAGTTTCCCATGGACTTGAGTCAACAGGTTCTAAAACACCTTGCTGAATCAATTTGTCCAATTCAGCATCAATTTTTCCTTTCAAAGCAAAGGGTACTCTTCTTGCTTTCACCCTAATGGGAGTGACAGTGGGGTCCAGTTTCAAGGAAACTGGGAGGCCTTTGTAGGCTCCCAGCTGGGGGCTGAAGACATCTTCAAATTCTTTGCAGACTTTTTGTAGACCTAATGTTTGCAAATTGTGTAGCCCTATAACTTGTATTCCCAAGGCCTCAAACCAATCGAGTCCTATGAGACTCGTTCGTTCACCCCCAACTACCAATACATCTAATGGACCTTCAAAATCCTTGTATTGTACTTTAAGGGTGGCCTCCCGCTTAACACACACCTTGGAATTTTGGAAGTCTGTCAAGACTATATTGGATGGCCTAAGCTTGGCCTGGAACCCACTGCTAGAGCAAATCTTTCTGAAAGTGTGAATAGAAATGATTAAAAGGGCAGACCCAGTGTCCAGTTCCATAACCAATGGAACTCCTTGCAACTTCACCTTAAGTGACAGTTTCTTTTTAAGTGGCCTGTGTGTGCCTGTCGTATAAATGCTTCTACGTGATGCACAGAAACCCACCCTGTTTTGGCTGGGGACCCTGGTACCTTTCAGGCGCAATTCTTCTTGGGGTTGTACCTTCTGACGGCCCAGACACACAGCTGCTATGTGGCCTTGCTTGCCACATGCTCTACAGATTGCAGAACAGAACCTGCAGTCGGTCCTCTTGTGG